ATGCATAGACGACACTTAAATGCATCAGACAAAGGACTTGTCTCTGTATTTGTCTCATTAGACCGATTTGACACAAGTGACCACCATATTTTATTACAGTGACTGGAACATTTCATTGGCATTAGAGGAACCGCTCTAAGCTGGTTTAAGTCCTATTTATCAGATCGATCTCAGTTTGTACGTCTTAACGATGAATCCTCCATGTACACCAAAGTTAAGTGCAATTTATACTTCTGCTTCAAATCGACGGCATAGGTTACACAGAGGCTACGCCGTCGCCTGACGTGCACCTCCTCCAAAATGTATCTACACATCATGTTGACGTGGACCGTAAGCTCTGTGATTGGTTGGCTGGGTAGCCTCGCAATGCCTCCGAGCCGACGGAAGTACCCCACGCTTTGAAGTAACATTTACTAGCGGCCAAAACGGCAGCTGTAACACAGTGAATCAATATATTTGACCGTCGCAATCCGAGCGAAATGACTCGTTTCGCTATCAGAATGTGATCCTTTCAGTCAGTAACATTTGAAAATGCTACACCGGCCACACGTATACAATTTTATCCCCATTTACATTAGCGGAGTGCTAAAACGGAAGTTAGCCTACTCGGCCGGCAAGAGTCAAAGCAGTGTACGCTGTAGTGCTCCTGCTGACTAGCGTTTGGGGGCGGAATTGCAGAATGACGGACACACCTATGCACAAGTATAAATGCATGGCTACGTGCATAGCCTACGGCATAGGTACGCACATAGACCCTACGCAGGAGTATAAATGGGCCTTTAGTCATGGAGCTCCACAAGGATCTGTGCTTGGTCCAATCCTGTTCACTTTACATATGCTTCCTTTAGGCAATATTATCAGGAAACGTAAACTTTCACTTTTATGCAGATGATACTCAATTATATCTATTGATCAGGCCAGATGAAACCAATCAGTTTGCTAAACTTCAAGCACGCCCTAAGGATGTTAAAACCTGGATGACCTGTAATTTTCGATTGTTAAACTCAGATAAAACTGAAGTTATTGTTCTGGGGCCCAAGTAAAGTTGTTGTTCTGGATGGCATCGCCCTGGCCTCCAGCACAACTCTGAGAAATCTTGGAGTTATCTTTGATCAGGACATGTCGTTTAACTCTCAAATTAAGCAAATTTCAAGGACTGCCTTTTGTCACCTACATAATATTGCAAAAATCAGGAACATCCTGTCTAAAAATGATGCAGAAAAAATAGTCCATGCATTTGTTACTTCTAGGCTGGATTACTGCAATTCCTTATTATCAGGCTGCTTGAAAAAGTCCATTAATTTAAAATCCTTCCTCTTACCTACAAAGCCCCTAATTTTCAGGCACAATCTTATCTTAAAGAGCTCATCGTACCTTACTACCCCACCAGAGCACTGCGCTCCCAGAATGCAGGGTTACTTGTGGTTCCTAGAGTCTCCAAAAGTAGACTAGGAGCCAGAGCGTTCAGCTATCAAGCTCCTCTCCTGTGGAACCAGGTTCCAGTTTGGGTTCAGGAGGCAGACACCATCTCCACATTTAAGAGTAGGCTTAAGACTTTCCTCTTTGATAAAGCTTATAGTTAGGGCTGGCTCAGGTAGTCCTGAACCATCCCTTAGTTATGCTGCTATAGGCCTAGACTGCCGGGGGATTTGCCATGATGCACTGAGCTCCTCTCTCCTCTTCATCTCTTTCTTACATGTTTCTAACTCTACTACTTCCCTCTCCTGTAGTTTGCTGCTCTCTCGTCCCTCTCCTCTCTCCGTCTGTTGCTCTCTGCAGGTGTTTCTGGCTCTGGAGCTGTGGGGTCTAGATCTGTGGTTGCGAGCTTCCTGCTGCCGCCACTGCTACAATTATTATTAATCCTACTATTATTATTAATTTTACTAGAATTATCAATAACATTGTTTATTTTCTGTCTGCACCACAACCACTTTTACCTTTTATGCAGTTCTATGTGGATATTGTGTTGCATCACCCCCTCGTCCTCTTTCGCTATCCAACGCTGGCCACCAAACCTGAGTCACAGTTCCGGTCGAGGTCTTTCTACCTCCTAAATGGGAGTCTTTCCTTGCCTCCGTCACCAAGTGTTCATAATAATAGATGGTACAATCTAGACCTGCTATATATATAAAAAGTGAATGAGGTAACTTTTGTAATGAATTGGCGCTATATAATTTGAAGTACTGCAAGTGTTTTGAAGTTTGGTGGCGGACCTGCCCTTTGGTTTAACGCTACTCATTGTACCTTTAATGGGCTAAGACATAGAAAAACAGCTGGCATGGTCCTTTGGGTTCAAGTAGGGACAATGTTTGCTTGATCCATAGAGGAACATCTGGCAATACTTCCGGTGTGCCACAGATCACTGATGCATTTATTGAACTCCCATTTTGTTTGAAACCATTTCAAAACATGTGAACACTTGTTTATTAAACTAAATTTGTGTCTCTTTAGTGTCCCTGCCTTTCCCACAAAACCTAATGGAGGTGCAGCTGCCATTGTTGGGAACAGAGAGTGTACCTGTACCTACGGATTGAGTTTGATCACAAACAACAAGATGTGCGCCGAGTTAAATGTTGGAGGGAAGGGCATCTGTCAGGTGATCAGTTTTACTCCTGTGTTCGAGTCTATTTTACCTTCTGCAAAGATTCCTTCTCCTAAATGTTTCTTTCCGTAAAGGGGGATGGAGGAGGTCCGCTGGTGAGCAAGCAGGGCGGTCGCTGGATCCAGGGGGGAATCACGAGTTTCCTCAGTAATAAGGGCTGCGCAGTGCCTAATATCCCGTCAGGCTACACCCGAGTGTCCCAGTATCAGTCCTGGATCAACAGCCAGATCACCATCAACCAGCCGGGCTTCATCACCTTCACCTCCACAGGGACTGACGGTGACCTCAGCGTCACCTGTCCTGCCCTGCCACCACCCATAGCCCAAGGTAAGTTTTGCCTCAGAAAGCTTATATTAGATACTTTTCTTCTTCTTCTAACAAACAGTTTCATGTTTTGTTTCAGAATCTATTTGAATGGAGATGTGTTCATTTACTGTTTTGCGCAATGAAGTTCATGGCAACACCATGGTTGTTAAAACAATAATGTTATACCATTGAGATCACAGGAGTGAGTCTCGCTCACAACTAGATGCTGAGTCACAGTTTTACTGCTAACTTTTTAACTTGTTCTCCATCTACCATTTGGACGTTTCAAACATTTTGTTAGACATAAACTTTGTAAACCCTGAGCAAGACACTTAACCCCTCGTTGCTCCAGAGGCGTGCAACCTCAGACATATATAGCTTTTTAAGTCGCTTTGGATAAAAGCATCAGCTAAATGTAACATAATCATTATTGTTTGTATTTGCTGTCAACCCTGGATTGTTCACCCTGTGTCTTTATTGTCCCCCTCCTCAGTGTGTGGTCAGCCTACGCTCAACACTAAGATCGTTGGAGGACTGGTGGGCTCTGCAGGCAGCTGGCCCTGGCAGGCCAGTCTGCAAAGCTCTGGAACCCACTTCTGTGGAGGAACCCTCATTAACAATGAATGGGTGCTGACAGCTGCTAACTGCATCACAAGGTAACTAGTGAGGATAGGGTCAGCAGAAAACAACATGCCACACAGTCCTGTAAACAGCCTGCCTAAGGCAGTGTTTCCCAACCTTCCCCACCTAGACCCACTCGAATCTGAATGATTTTATCATTCATTACCATTCAAGGATAAAATCTGGATTGTTTCAAGCTGTGGTGATTGGAATCAAGCAGACAATGCCTCCTTTTTGAGGGGTCACCAGCCAACAAGGTTTGGAATAACTGCTCTAAGAGGCAGAGATGAAAATGAATAAGAGGCAACCTAAGCCTAAATCACACGACACGTTTTAAGCCCACTTTCCCAGTCGGTAAGCTTGGCAACCGTCAGGCTGTCATCAGGGGTAAATCAGCCACTCATTACGTGTGAACTACTCGAAGACCCATCAGAACAGCTCCTGACCCGATGTGTCAGCGATGCGTCTGGGAGCATCACTGACACATCGGTGGAGGAGTATCTGGAGGAGTTCAGCCGACATCCACATCCAGCCAATGAGAGCAGGCAGTACTTTTTCATTTCAAAACACTTTCATCTCCATCTCTCGCTGTAGCTCAGACAATCCCTACCTGTTTGTGCTAATCCATTCTTTCACCCAGATTCTTTGTCTTTGTAATTGCCATCTTAATAATAACAGCTGTTTTGTCTGTAGGTTTGCGTCATTTCCCATTTCACGTGTGTTTTCTTGACAAATCGTGGTTTGGAGACCAGTGTCGGGTGACACAGCCGCAGTCCACTCGTGTAATGTGTGACCCCCTCTCACCGATCAGTCACGTAGTGTGAACGTCACAACGACTTCAAGACTCCCATCACAAGACAGCCGACGCTGAAAGTCATGTAGTCTGCATGAGTTTAGTCTGCATTTTAGAGTAAATTTCTGCCCTATGCAGCTCTAGAGCTAACCAGAAGAGAGAATACCAATGTCCCCTAAACTTTTTGAAAGCATGTGTAAACAAGTGTTCTTTTTGCGTGGCAAAAACCCCTTGGTGTCAGTTTGTAATGCACTGGGGGAAGCCCTGTAGCTTCATTTATGAAAGCTAAAAACAGGTGACTGGAGACTATTGAACATAAGTGAAGTCATGAAAGTAACGTCGTTATTTCAACCCAAGCAATGACGTTTTCCTAAACCTAACCAAATTGTGATCTTTCACAACTGAAACACAAGTTCCATTTTGAACTTCATTTGATTTGTATACTTGGAGATTGCTTTGTTGTAAAAAAAAATTTGATAAGGCAGAATGAGGTAGAAATGAATCCTTAGTTTTCTGGAATTCTCGACTGCAACAAATGCAAAGAACATGGACTGTATGTGCAGACTGAATGGAAAATTATTAATTTTAGAAAAAATTTCCATAATTAGGTCTTGAGGTCATGAAAAAGTTAATTGAGCACATGAATGACTAAGGATGATGGGTATGATATCTCCCTGTTGCCACATCTATCGGGCTCCATACGAACTAGACTAGACGTGGTCTTAAAGTGGACTTAGTGTCTGCTAAAGTGTTCTTGACTACAGTTCTGCTTTCATGTCTTTGCACTCTTTTGTTTCTCTTCTCATAACCTCAGCACAGGCATAGGCACGAGCACTCTGACTGTGGTTCTGGGTCTCCAGAGTCTACAGGGAACAAACCCCAATCAAGTGTCTCGGGCAGTATCACAGATCATCATTCATCCCAACTTTAACCCTGGAACTTTTGAAAACGACATCTGCCTCCTGAAGCTCTCCTCACCGGTGGTTTCAACGCCTACGTCCTGCCCGTCTGCCTGGCAGCCACAGGCAGCACCTTCTACAAGGGCACTGTCTCCTGGGCCACCGGCTGGGGCAACGTTGGAACTGGAGGTGGGTCAGAAAACCTGGATTACATTTATTTTCAGAGATAGTGTAACTACAGTGGAGTCAACAACTGTGTTTTTTCAGAAATTTCAATGCAAAAATGCAGTTCCTCCTTTACCAGGGGAGAAACAAATCATTCCTGTTACTGTGTGCAGGGATCCTTATATCATGATTTGTCTTGACATTAACACATAGTTTTGTGAAGAAGTTTGAATATTTTCTAAGTGCGAAGTGGAGTAGGGCCAACATAGAGGACAGCTCTCTACGTGTCAACAGGCAGGGAGGAGGGAGTACAACCACATTAAGTGACAGCAATCACTCCGACTAAACACTCAGCACAGAGTGAAACATAGAGAAGTGAGAAAAAAGGGGAAAACCAAGAATCACAATTGTAGACTTTGAGATTCCTCTGGTGGAGTGCGCTCTGATGCCCTCTGGAGCATCCATGAATCCCCTCATCCCAGTCATATTAATACTCACATTCCTCGAGGCGCGGGCCGAGGAGGTGGAGTTGCAGCTAGCTTGAACTCAAGCCTACTAATCAGCTCTAAACCTAAACTAAATTATAGCTCATTTGAAAGCCTTGTTCTTGGTCTTTCATATCCAAGTTGTAAATCACTGCAACCAATGTTATTTGTTATAGTGTACCGAGCACCTGACCTGTACAGAATTTTTTCTCAAACGGAGTGTTTTGTCCAAATAGACGACAGACAAATGTGATAAACAAGTAAGGATTCAGACAAATCAAGTCACTACACTGCACTAAACACTCTGAAGAAGGATGGAAAGGAAAAGAAAGCCTGCACATCCAGCCATCTAACCAACTACATTCAATGAAAGCAGCCGGTGTTCTGATGATGTCCGCTTCCTTGTTGAAAAATGCTACCATAGCGCCAATCAATAGCAGATGCTTCTACTACAGAATCATTTTATATTGCACCACTACTCACTCCATGTGTAGACTACTGTAAGTATACGGGGAGTATATTTTGATACTGTATTAAAACATATGATTATCCCAAAGACAGTAAATTGTGTTAATTCTATCAATTTAAACAGTGTGAATAAAGTAAGAAAGTAAATAAAAGAGGAACAGTTTAAGTTCTTTGTGCTTTAAAGAGGTCATATTCTGCTCATTGTCAGGTTCAAAATCTTATTTAGGGCTTGTACCAGAACAGGTTTCCATGGTTTAATTTTCAAAAAACACCATTTTTTTTATCATACTGCGCATTGCTGCAGCTCTTCTTCTCACCCTGTGTTGAAGGCTTCGTTTTACCTATGGATTCAATTTACAGTATATAGCACCAAATCACAACAACAGTTACAGACAGACAACAGAGTGCTTTTCATAAAAGAGCAGGTCTAGACCGTACTCTATGATGCTATTTACAGAAGCCCAACAGTTCCCAGCAAGAGCAGCACTAGGAGACAGAGGCAAGGAAAAACTTCCTTTAAGAGGCAGAAACCTCGAGTAGAACCATGACTCAGGGTGGGCGGCCATCTGCCTCGACTGAGAGATGGACTGATACATCTCACAACCACAAGATGTTTGTTGGGAGTTGCACATGCACAGTTAACTTAAGGACTTATGGATCCAATCAGAAGCAGAGTAGGGCGGGTCGTGAGAAGCCAGTAAACAGCTTTGGTTCAGCTGTACATGTTGCCGACCAGCTTAGCAACATGGACTGGAGCGAGAGTTTCAGAGTGGTGAGTTATTAATCTGTATCCATAAAGTTTTAACTGAGCTCTGTCTCTACATCACAGTAAACAAAACGAGCTGTTTTCAGGCAGTTTTCTGTGGGAGATGGGAACTCCCTTTGTGCTGGACTTTGGGCTTTTACACTTTGCAAACCTGTTACATGCACAAAAACATATATAACTCAATAAGGGGGAGGGGAAAAGCCAAAAAGTAATAATAATAATAATATATTACATTGAATTAGTCTACACTAGTAAATTTAGCCTATTTGCTGTCTTGTTCTAACCACAACATCCAGTACAACGAGCTAGCTAATTTATGTTTGTTTAAAGATAACTCATGCTACTCGCTAGAACTGCTAAGTAGCGCATCGCAATAGGTAGCATAAATCAACAGAACACTAAGAGTGTTGAGGCCGTGCATAGCCGACATGATGCCAGATGCTTTCCGCTCTGAGCCGATAGTCCGATCTCACCCCAATTTATAGACAGGGTGAGACCATGGTGGTGGCCAATCACGCGGGTGGGTATGGGAAATATTTTTCAGTACTGCGTGTGTGTGCGCGAGGGATAAACCCAGTAGCGATAGCCTTAGACGGCAAAGCCTGTACGATTATGTAGAACTGGCCGTTCTGGGTGAAACCATATGAAACCACATTTCACCACTTGTGCTGTTTACTAAACTGTATTTGTCTCTTTAGTGTCCCTTCCTTACCCACAAAAGCTAATGGAGGTGCAGCTGCCTATTGTGGGGAACAGACAGTGTAGCTGTACCTACGGATTGAGCCTGATCACAAACAACAAGATGTGTGCCGGTGCTGGAGGGAAGGACATCTGTCAGGTGATCAGTTTTACGAGTCTGATTTTACCTTCTGCAAAGATTCTTTCTCCTAAATGTTTCTTTCCGTAAAGGGGGATGGAGGAGGTCCACTGGTGAGCAAGCAGGGCGGTCGCTGGATCCAGGGGGAATCACGAGTTTCCTCAGTAATAGGGGCTGCGCAGTGCCTAATATCCCATCAGGCTACACCCGAGTGTCCCAGTATCAGTCCTGGATCAACAGTCAGATTACCATCAACCAGCCGGGCTATTACACCTTCATGTCCGCTGGGACTGACGGTGACCTCAGCGTCACCTGTTCTCCACCAAGAACTGCACGCTAACGTAAGTGCCGGCCATGTCTAGAGTTTGATGTTAACCATTTGGAAACCCCTTGGAAAGCTTTAAAATGATGTCATTTTTTTCTTGTTCAAAACACATCTGGATAGTAATGAAACACAGCATTAGTTCAGGCAGGCAACGAAGTTAAGCTCAGCTCACAGTACCAGCAGCTGATAGCAGCCATCTTAAGCCAGCCACATCAGCAGCTCAGCTGGTTAATCTCCTAGCATTCATTGGCAAATTCCATAGAAGGTGCCTTATTTAAGCTGCTGCAGCCTGCTTGCCTGCCCTCGCTGCTTTCTGTGCTACAGCTCATAACCCACCACCAACCAAGCTTTATTATGGATCCCATTGGGCATAGAATCAGAATCATTGCGGGAAATGGATTTTGGCAGAGAATTTAGCCGATAAGAATAAACAATGCTAGCAATTCAATTCAGTTATATTTAAATAGCCCCAAATCACAACAGCAGTTATCTCATAGCAGGTCTAGATGATACTCTGTGATATTATTATACCCCAAAATTCCCACACCGCTGCTGGTGTCACACTCTGTGCGTCATATTGCTACTCATGGATAGAGCCAAACAGAAGCAGTGCAGGCAGCTAACCCAAAGTTAGGATGTTTTTCACTGTTTCAGAAGTGGCATCAGACCTCCCTCCTGTCCTCCTTCCCTCTGTCTCTGCTGTGATCCTGCACTGAGGCTACCTGGCAATCTAAGCTAAACAGTTAAACTACAGACTGCTTTCATTTAGCTAATTGCCAAGCTAGAGTTAGTGCGGTGTGCTTTTATAACAGAGGATGCGAGACGTAGACAGAGCAGAACAATAACACCTTCTACAAGTTGTGCTTGTTAAACAGATGTTTCTAGAAAGCATTGTCTTTTACCCGGGAGGTTCTGTTACGCGTACTACAGTAACGAGTAACAGTAACGGGTAACTGTCGCCAACTCGAGTAGTTCAGAGTTCAGAGTCTCCACCGCAGCCTCTCTCTGCGCTGGGTGGGGGTGCATGCCCACATGTGTGTTCATGTGCAGAGGCGACACAGGCCACAGCCTGATAATAAACGTACCGACTTCAGCCCATTTAACACAGTATTTCAGGACCACCTTCTACCTGATTATTACATAATTCAGCATATGCCTGCTCTGTTCTGTACAGGGCTTCTTTATTGCTGCTCTCAGCCTCGGGCTTTCCATGTATGCACATGATGGGCAGGGAGGTGTTCCCCACATAGGCAGATCCCAGAACAGAGCCATACCGCCAAACATAACTACAATGCAAATTTGGCACTTTGGTTGTTGATCACAGAAGTCTCTCCATTATCACCCTGAAATGTAGGTTGAGGTACAGAAGTTGGCACACTAACTCCCTAACTAGGTGAAAGTCCACCACACCGACTGAGAGCAGAGTGTTTCTTCTGTTTCTGTTGTTTCTCTTTTGTGTTTACGCACACATTTTTTTTAACACAATTTTGGAGCCCAAAGTTGTACGCAACATAAAGGTCTAAGACCTGCAGAAAAAGTTCTTCCACGGTTCTTTTACTGAGAGAAGGAACTCCTGAACTGTTGTTTGCTGTGTATAATATAATGAATTCTCATTAAATGATGAATTATTTTCGTAATATGACATGTCGGAGAACACATATGTGGAATAGGTTTTGAATGTGCAGAAAGTTTTGACAATAGCAGAAAACAGGAGCTAGTAAAGTCCAGGGGTCTCATTTATTAAACTGTACATAGAAAAGACTCCAGGTTGCATACGTACAAAGCACAGGAAGTGCATAGACACAAAAATATTCTGATTTATAAAACAGTGTGCGCACATGTCCTACGCCGATTTCCCTTTATAAATCACAATCAACTTGTGGCGCATGTGAGCGAGATCCATGTTCGACCCTTTAAACGTCCACAGTTGCCTATAAATGGTCAGTGAGACGCCCCTCATTAATATTAATATGTACTGACTGCAGGGAGAAAAGGAGGCAAAATCTGACAGTAAAGCTACAAAAAGAAATTTAACTTGTGTGACACTGACGTTCCTTTTGGTGAAGCTGAAGTTATTTGGTGGGTAATAAACGCACTTTCACGCAACAATTGTGCACCGGAGGAAAACCCCTTTATAAGTGATCTGCCAGAAGGGTCAATTCTCCTGAGTAGTGACGGAGGTGGAGGGGCACACACATGCAAGACGGGATGACCCAGGTAGATGATTTGGATTCCCACATTGAAAAGAACTGAAAGATTTACTTAATAAAGTATTATTATTTTAGTTATTATAATAGTTATTATTATATTTTTCTAGATCATGTTTTTTGGCTCAAATGTAATAAAGCAACGAACACTGATAACAATATATGTAACTATGCAATCGTATTTGCTCGACTGAAACAACAAAACGGCATCAATTTAAATGCAATTTTTCCTCCTTATGAGAAAAAATTGCACTGCATTATTTTGCATGATTTATCCTAAATCGTGTTTCTTTTTGTTTGAGCTGCAAATGATCTTAAATGTTTTTTTATTGCACATCTCTGGGAAAATCGATCAAATGGGAGTTTGTTTATTAAGAAAGGCTTTCATCTGTTTGGAAAATGACTTAATATTATTACATATATTAAGATTTATAGGCCTATAATACTCAGAGGTAATATTTACATTTATTTTCGTATCCATTTAAAACTTTCATCCTTCTGCCATGTGAGTCACCGTTTCTTTTTCTGTTTTTTTAAAGATGACAACCTTTGCTGGGAAGTGGCTTACACACTTTTCCAGCCCTCTTTTGTACATACACACCGTTTAGAAATGAGACCCCAGGAGCAACTGCGGTCGCCGAATGCAGAAAAGTTCAGCCGCCTTGCTCCGGGAGGTTTTAATGTCATGTGACATGGTGACGTTTTACAGCACCGGCAAAAGTCGGACACAATTTCTAACCAGCATGCTTTATGTTAAGTCCAGCCTGCATCACGATAAGTCAGCGCTGTGACTCGCCTCATGAAGTCAAACGCACCTATAGTCTCACTTTAAATGATTGAGACATGTGGTCTTTCTGGAAATTTGCTCGTTCAGGAGAGATTGATCATAAATATTAGAATTATTTACAGCTTGACAAAAAGTTGGACTGAACTTATTTTTCCTGTTTGTTTGTTCAGAGTGATCTGGTGGTGAGCAGGGCGGCTCTCGGTTCCAGGCAGCGGGGTTAATAGGTGGAAACAAGGCCTCCAACACCACCACCTTCCTGGTTAATCTCCAGCCTCCATCAGCAACACCAACAGCACCAGCACAGCTGCCGCCAACATACCGACTACCAGCGGAGGCGCTCCTGCTCACCCCCCTTCTTCTTCTTCTTCATCCATATCCTCATCTTCTCTGTGTGAGAGATTCTGGATGGAAACTGCTTTCTCTCTAAAATAAATCTTTCTGTCTGCTTCCTTTTGCTTTGAGCGTGTGTGCTACTGCTCTCAATCTGAAGTCTAATCCAAAAGTCCTGCAGTAAATCCTCCTTCACAATGGTTTTAACCTGTTTGTGTTGAGATGTGTTGATTCAACTGTCATTTTGGAGACTGCTGTTGTGTTTGTAGCCACACGTGTATGAAAATAATAATGTTGCAAATAAAAAAATTTCTGCTGCATTTGTTGAAGTGAATTTGGTGAAAAACACATTCACACAGTTGCTATAAATATTAAAATGTATAATCATAGACACAATGTGCACATCTGCAAATCAGAATGTGAATTCATGCAATGAGAGTTTTACACCGTTAGAATATTTTTTATATTTTCTACAATGGAGCTGAGGGGTTTTACCAAATCTACCAAAAAGCAGGGCTTCTACAACAAACAGACGGGACAAATGAAAGGAAGAAGCTGAATGAAAGAGAGGAGGAACAGATTTTTTGATCATCATCAAAAAAAGAGATGAAGCTGCTGGCTAGCAGGCCGGAATGAAGGGTTTTAAGCAACAGCACAGCAGCCTACGTTATACAGGACAAACAACATTAGGTCAACACTCCCTGCCATGCAGCTCCAGAAACTAAGTCAGCCTGGCTTAGCAGGGGAACCTGGCACCAGGATGCATGTGCCTCCTGCTGCCACTTCTATCAACTGCGGCAGCTCACTCTAGCTGGGGCTCCTGGCAGCAGGATGTAAGCACGCCAAACTGTCTACTCCCATAGCAGCCGACTTTAATTTGGGATTCTGCCAGCAAAACTGCCAGTGACTCCTACTGCCCGCTTCCAATAGCCACAGCTGCTGGCTCCAAAAGGTACTCCTACACTGGGATGTTTGCGCCCTCTGCTGCCACTTCCAGCAACGTCAGCAGCTCGCTCTAGCCAGGGCTTGTGGCCTCGGGATGACAGTGCACCCAGCCGAACACTTCCAGCAACTGCTAACCTGATTGTGTCAGATGGTTTGTTACACAGAAAAATCATTGTTGGAAACCATTTGAAAAGGTCAGGAGAATGAATTTTAACCTCTTTAGTATCACTGTTTTATCAGCAAACAGTCACTTCTCACACAAGTTGTCACACACCTAATGTTAGGGCACACAGTTAGCTCATGTCATAGCTGATAGTACTTCCCCTTAGGATGCCGTTTTCTGCAAATAAAATGTGGACTGTGACTGAAGAGCATAGCTTGGGGCCCATTGGCTGGAAATGGACAATTACATGGCCATTATTATAAATTTGGTTTAAAGTTTTAGAGGCAGTGGTTCTACCAAAATCACATCCAGTTGCCTCCGAAGTCAATTCTAGACATTCTCTTCTAGACATTCACTCCGAATCAAAAAGTTGAACCGAAACACCTTCTGACCTACAAATCACACCACCTCAACATCACCCTATGAATTACTCCCAATGGGTGAGCTGTTATCTCTCACTTACTTATCTTTGGTTCGGCCTTCTTGCCAAACAGGACAAGATCAACTTCTGAATGAATGAATGAATGAATGTCTACTTTAGTGTCTTTAACCACAAAGCGATATTTATATCATTGTGAATCACTGTGACTGCTTTTAAAATAACTAAATCCTTTAAACTTACAGTATGTATAAATTGTACTTTTAAGTGGTCTAATGTCATTTGTTAATCTATCATAGGATCGGTCTTGTTATTGTTCTTTGTTGTTGTGCGTGTGCTCGTGCTCATATTTGTAACTGTGTCTTTGTCCATATGCTGCTTTTTTGGCCAGGTCTCTCTTGGAAAAGAGGTTTTAAATCTCAATGACATCGTCTGGTTAAATAATAAAAATACAAGCTCTCATGAGTCCTAAAGAATAATTATCTGATAGAGTATCAAAAGACAGAGGAGGGCTCACCCCACGTACTAGGCTTCTCCTCTGCTTCATGCTCCTGTCCCAACACTCAAGGATGTACTGGGACTGAAATTCAGCCCGGGACTTTGAGACGAACGCTGTGTGGGGCGCAGTTATTTCAATAAATAGTGGTTTACTTGCATACAGTCACTTTCATTATGATGACCTTCAAGAAACTTTTTATTACACCTGCCTCTTAAGTTTGAATAAGAAAGGCGCCACTGCACTGAACAAGACCAGGTTAGGCAAGCCTGAGTCAGTCAGAAGGCTAAAATAGTTAAATATCAGAAACTACAATGCAGTCTCATAAAATAGAATCAAATCCCTCAGCTTCAGCTCCCCTGTGCCGGACCCTGACTCTGCTTGTCCTGATTGTGCAGCTACATATGGATGTTAAGGAGATCAGTAATAAATATAACTAACAATAATCCATTTTCTTATTCTATCTATGGATGATTGCCCTGCACACATCCTGTACCTGCCACTGTTTCTGTTTCCATTGTCCTCCTACTCCTGCTTCTGTTCCTCGTGTTTCTCCTACAGTCCTCCTGTTCCTTCTCCCTTCAACTGTTGTTTATAAATATATAAATATATATAGCCTCTATGCCTACATGAATGCATATAAATTATCTGAGGTTATAATAAATGGATTACTTATCAGTACCTGCGCTGGTTCCTGCCTCATCCGCATCGCGCTGCCACAGCAGCGTTCCACTAAGGAAGAGGTCGGGTAAGTTATGCATTTAGTTGCCTCTTGTGCCAACATTTCTGTCTTTTATGTTCAGCACCACACATTTCCTTTTCCTCTTTCTTTCTTTTCAACAATGTACCTCCTCTGTTGTGCTTGTCACAAAACACTGGGCTGAGTTCAGCCCCAAGATCACATAAAGAGATTAAACTTGTCCTTGCTGGAAAGTAAACTCCTTTCATCGGCGCCATTGAGCCAATCAGATTTCAGAAAATAAGAGGATCGGTCCGAGTGGGAGGGGCCGCCTGTACCCCAGTATGAAGGTATAGGTTTGGCCCAGTCTAAAAGACACAGACCGTGTACACTGCAGCTGACCGGCCAACGCGGTCGCAAATCATTTTAAAGTTGAACATAAGAAACTGAAAAATAAAAACTCTTGAAAACCAGCTGGTTCGGCCTAAAATAGATCAGCTGTTCAGGATTGTTCCCACATTCCCAATAGCCAATCCGCCCCTGCTAACACCTGCGCTGCTACTCCCTCTCTGGAGGAACAAAGATTGGCAACATTTTAGAGAATTGTTAGAAATTAAGAAGCGTTACTGAAATGTTGTTTAGGAAAAGTTGGATAAGGGGATAAAATCGGGGTCAGAGAATCATCGACCTTTCAATAGATTAAAATCTACCTAGTTTTATTTAGCAAAGCTTAACAGCTTAACATACAAAGCCTACGTCCAGAAACACTTTGAGATAGAAGAGAAGAGAATAAAGAAACCAAACAGAATTTCTGGGTCTAAAAAGCCATGAAGCTGTTCAGAAGACACTTCCTGCTGCTTCCTCTTGTCATTTGTCACCATCTGTAGACGGTCAGAAACTAAGCAACACACTTATTCACTGGTTATACAGAGTCTGCTAATCTACGGAAGCTAGCACTTTATGTGTTTATTTATAACTCTACACTATATTTCTGACCACTGAAAATTTAAGAAAACACATGATGATGATTATCAGTATTTTCACATATTCAAACTGATCCAGGAGCTGACTTCAGATCCATCATGTTATTGTTAAAGACAGCTGCTGTCACTCTGTTCACAGCTCAGAAGGCGTGCTCAGTGGTGACATCAGCAGTGATGTCATCATAATCGCCATCCAATTCGTCACTTCCTCCAACCCGCTGGGTCATCTCCATGGAGACGGCTGGTTTGTTTCCTGTCTTCCTGCTGCAGCAGATGGACAGCATCAGACCAGTAGAGACGCAGTATGGACAGAAGACCACTAGATGGCAGCAGAGTCTGAGCACAGACAGAGAGGAGTCTGACGGAGGAGAACAAGAATCACAGTCAGGTTTGTTGCCAAGTAGGTTTTTACGGAAGCCCTAAGTGCCCATCGATTCAAATGTTGATTTACTCTGTTTCCCTTTGATAACAGGAGTATCGAAAAAAGTTTGTTTTCCCGTGCACACAATCCTGTGCCAACTGAGCTCACCAATTTCACTGGAAACTTTTCTGAAATCATCCTAAAGAAACAAACCTACCGACCCCTGTATTCAGCTATGATTTGTTATCTCAAGATCACGAGGAAATTATCCTGTTTTCACATGAAAACGGAGTAAAATCTATGGCCGCTTAGGGCTTCCGTAGTTTTACAACACACAAGGAATTTGTCTTTTTTGTGAGTAACAATAAAGAAAATAAAAAACAAGAACATTAAAAGTCAAGAATCATAAACGTAAAATAGAAAGTTGAAGAATTAAATAGTTGTTTTACAATGATTCAATGGGAGGGACAACTTATAACAGGAAGGAGGGGTCTGGACAGTTTGGTGGAATCATCTCATCAACACTGATTTATACCTTCATTTTATGTTCATTTCACACAGAAGGATCAACAAACCAAATGTCATTCGTTGGTCTCATGTAATAATGACTTTCAGTAAAATATTCAGTGTGAGAATCTAAGCTTTAAGAACTTTTGACCTTTTGACTTTATTATTAGTTTGAGAGCTGCAAGTTCAGCTTTAAAATTTAATTACTTGGATTGCTGATAACTGTAATGGTTGATTTTATGATTTTTATGAATTTTAAAATGAATCAGTTT